CCTAACGCAGATCTAGCATTCAGCGAGCTTCTGGAATGCCACAACTAATCAATATACCAACGGATTTAGACGAATGTACTCAAAAGCGATTCTTTCAAGTGAGCCCAGCGACCTGCAATTTCCGAGCTTAAATCCACGACTAATGATGGGAGGATTCCAAATATTACTGAAGCAACTTTCACCAAAACAACCTCGTCACCGTGAAGTGGACACACCTCGAAACTTCCAGATTCTCCTACTGCTAAACAAAATCCACTGACTGTCTGTATTTCAGGCGGCGTTCGATGATTTTCTATGCCGAGTCGGTAGGGCAAGTTTTGACGAACGATAGTGGTATCGGACCCACTATCTAAGGAGGCATACGGGATCAGTTCCGCCGAAGGTTCTCTTATAAGAACTGGGGGTAGCCCAAAGAAACAGCCGTCTTGCGGTCAGTCATCGCATTGCTTTTGACTACAGGGACTAACTCTGCTTTTTATTCAGTGGTTTTGAATGTAGCAAAGCATGATGTTTAGCTCGGCATCCATCTACTTTACATCGATATTGTGGTTAGTGGTCCTTTGCTTTGCGGGCGGCCTCGAGGCACCCAAAACAGGCATCAAGAGCACTCAAGGTGGACAATCTTTCCACTGGCTCAAAGTACAGAATGTGCTCGCAGTTTTTGATACGGTGCTTTTCACCACAAACCTTGCAACCGGTCTCGCTCAACAGTGGGGCCTGATCTGAGCGAACGATCACATGACCCCAAGCGGTTCTGCTCTTGCCTACATCTGTAACAGATTGGCCGAGTACACCTTGGTCCCTTTGCGTAACCGATTCTGCCAGAAGGCCGTAACGAATGCTTAACACTCTTGCCCTTTCAGTAACGAACTTTGTGGGGTCGGCGAAGGTTGGCTCCCCCCGAGAATGAGTGGCTTGGTAAACGAGTTCCGCCCACTCGTGTTGCAAAGTATTGGGCAAGCAGCTCACTAACCTATACAAATTCTCCAGGAAACTCAGTTCTGCACTGTAGCTCATGTGAGTCAGACCTATTTTGCAACTCTGCATCTTGAAGGCCAACTGAATCAGACCTCTTGGCTTGCAGGAGGTAACACGAAAACATTTAATGAGATCATCCATCAGGGCTCTAGCAACCACATGAGAACTTCCAAAAGACTCGTGCAGAATTCGGCGGGCACGTTCATAGCATTCCGCTAGCTGAAGCATGAGGTGATCCTCGATAGCCTCCCTGGCTACAACGGAGCACGCCTCTTGCCAATTGTACAAGCCTCTTTCCCTCGTCTTGGGTATTGCTTTCTACGTAAAGCTGGAATTGACGCACAAACCTCCAATAGCTGCTGGGATGACAATCATTTAATCCATTGTGTTATCGTTCGCCTACCCCGAGATGATGTCGATTTTCGGAGTTCAATGGCGTTATAGTCTTTCTGCAATCTTCAACTTATCTTTTATTGCGTCTTTTTGAGTACTCTGAAAAACCTGACCGGTTGCATTGCTCTAAGCCATCTTCACCTCCAGTCAAAGATGATTCGATCTCACCCAATTTCACCTCGGCTTTAGCCTTCATGAGTCGCTTTTTGGTTAGTTTTCATGGCCTCTGATCACTTTAAGTTGATTTTCTTTAAGCCGTGCTAAAGCAGCTTTGGACCTCCCCAAACTAATCCTAGAATCCATACTAGTCCTAGAGCTCATCGCTGAAAACAAAACCGTGTTCAACTTGCCTGACTTTTTTCTCAACTTCTTCTTCCCGTTTTGAATTGATTGACATTGACATTGCCTGAAGACATTGCCTGGTGTTTGGTATCCAAAGAACTACGCTTGTCAGCGTTGAGTACTGTAACGACGGTTTCGAATTCTTGAGCAACGAGCAACGAGGTTAGCAACAAAACGGCAAAACTCCGAATGAATGGCTGCGCAAATGTGCTGTACTATGAAAATGAAAGTAGTTACACGGAATAAAAAATCACAAACCTCAACGGTTTTCGACAAACGGTGAGGTACTCCAAAGAGCTAGCAAAGCCGCTATGGATCAACACTCAACGCGTGATCGAAAGTGAGCCGACAATTCATGCATTAAAACAAATTTAGTGTTAGCCAAATTTTGGCGGTAAAAACGGTTGGCGCGGCATGGAAAACGGAAAATATAAATGTCCTGTGAAACTGAAGATAGGATTCAACCACACCAATCCAAAAAGTGGGGGTCCATCTGAATTGTTAACTGGGAAGACAGTCGTTCAAGATGGGAGGCAATTTTAAATAAATACGAAGTTGCAATGTGAGAAAATAAATGATCAGTGAATGTCCTGTTTGCTACATACGCACAACCCACATTGCGGCAAAATATGCAAACTCTAATGCATTTGCTTTGACTACTAAACAAAATAAAATGAAAGGTTGTCCACAATACGGATACTCTCCTTAGATAAACTACAATTTTTTTCAGTCACTCTCTCGGAGCTTTGATTGGCTGTAAATTGGTGCCCAGTTTTCCATGAAGAAATACTCCATTCTTTGACAGTTGACATTGGTTCCCCATACACCCAATTCTTTCTTTAATTTGTCAGTATGGAAATTAGATACTTTATGCCATGTCCAACGCCTGGCGCCCGATTCAAAGAATACGGACGACTTGTACTTAACATTCTTTTGGTTACTTGGTCGGCCAGATGCCTTTTGGCAAATGTGAAAGAATATACGAACATAACTTGAAAAAATAAACACGGTCCAAAAAGGCAGATGAATGTATATTCCTTGCCATTTAGCAACGCTTTCCTGGATATTTGCACCGAGTTCACACATCCCATTGATTCCCCTTCTTCCTGTATATATATATATATAAAGCTATAGATATGTATACAAATTTATTGCTGTATTTTATTTTGAAATGAAGGTTGAAATGTTTCACTTTAAGACACGTTGAAATTATTCGTCCGAATCAGCTGACCAGGTTGTTCGTAAATTTGTTGTGTGTTAACTTGGAGGAATCCTGTTATTCGAAATCTCACTAACCCCATACAAGGCCACACATAATATCAGGATGCTTGATGTACAGCTGAATGCTTTATGAATTGCCCAATTCATTTCGTGTGTACAAAATTGATGACCCGGTTGAAAGGTTGTGTAACAACTTAAGATATCTAGTGCTTGTTCGCAAAATGCACAGATCTAATAATGAGCTGGGATTTGCTAAATCTTTATTGTTTTTATCTTCGGGATTTTCTTGCCCTGTGATAATGTACGAACACGGTGTGTACTCTAGCCCACCCCACACTCATCAGAAATGATACTAATTTCCAGTGTACTTCAATAAGAATGCTCAGAGCTTTTCATAGTACAAGTGTGTTCGGTTACTCTGGTACCATTAGATATCACCAAGCAAAACTGCGGACAGAAGTACTGAGTACAAGTATAAAGAGATATTACCCTAAAGCTTACTGCTACTTCATCACCAATGATATGAGTGCATATTACGTCTTTCACAAATTAATTCCCTAGGCTTATCTTGAACCCATGAGGTAACCCGGAATCGGACGTACGGGGCAGTCCGTTAGGGGCCTTTTCGTTGATCGACAAAAACTTATGGGTCCAAGAATTTTGGATCAAGCGACTTCTACCGGGATCTACCAGTTTTGTGGTTTTTGATGTTTTAAAGCGCACACTGACCCGGATTCTGGTCACTTTACTGCAGTTTGGGCTTTCATATGAACCCAGTGTGATAGGTTTAGGCGATACACCTTGAATGTTTTTCAGTGCCATAGCGACTGCATTTCTCTCGTTAATTTTTTGCACCTACATCCTCTTGCGACGGATTGCTAGGGATCGGTCGTTAATTTCACGAATATTACAGGTGAGTGATCCGGGCTTATTTAAACAATTCACCAGGAATTTGAAGAGCGAATCGTGCCCAAACTGCTGCACCTTGAGATAACCAGTAAAGCCTATATTTGAAACCAAGGCCCTGTTTTAAACATCGAATTTCACTGTGAGCTGCACCCTTTTCAAGGGGCTAATTACATTTGTGTTTGAATCCAATATATCGAACGATTTCTTTTCTTGGTGAAATTCGGGGAAATTTTCTTTTGTATCCGACCTGCCGCTTCTCCGGTGTTGTCTCCATTTTCATAGTTAGGGATGTGAAAACCGCAGCAGATCCGGTGGCGAATGTATTTGAAATAATCCTTTACAAAGCTCAAACGAAATCATTTTCATTAGAAAAATATTTGGCATACGACACTGGCTTCTCATATTACTCGTAGATGGAAATATAATCAAAACTGACGTTGAAAAAAGGTTCGAGTGAACTGCTGTTTGAAGACTCGGCTATCGAAGCAACTAAAATACAAATTTGACCTTAGTAAACCCATTAGCCGCAGGTCATAGGGGTATCCAAACAATGACGCAAAAGACGTCTGAATCGGACTTATTTTGCGGTCAAGTTGTAAAAATCCTCAGCACACAGATCGTCGTATTTTATCATTTCATTTTACAACACTGTGTTTTGACTCGGAACTTAAAAGGGACTGTGTGCAAGTGTGCGGCGTTCCAAGAACATAACGCCAGCAACTTTTGAAAGATTGATTAATGACAACACATCACAGCACCATTCTGTGTTTGGGCGTTTTGTTCCGCCACTCCACGTAACATACATCATTTAGTGCTCAATTTCACTGAAAAGATGCAAGTCCAATTTGGCCTTGCGCATCATATGTATTTTTGGATAAGCCTTGAA